TGTGTTGTTACATGCAATCCCGGAAATAATTTACAATATTAAATGTTGGTGTATAATACAAAGCGTTCTATTTTTGGAAAGTGATTGTACTGTATTTTTAGTAAGTTGAAAAAAATAATTTTTGGTATCCGTAAGCAATGGAATTGATTTGTTTTCAAAAAATTATGATTCAGTTTACAGAGAGGCGTTCTGTCAGCTCTCTCCGCGCAGTGGCCGTTTGGAACAAACTTCAACTTCCGGCAAATCCCGGCCAACTGGCCGCCAACCATCCCGCCACTGCCCACCCATCCGCCTGACCACACTGCCCCGACACACCCACCCTCTCTTGGTAATTATTACAGATATTGATAATCAAGAAGTACTAAAGGTAGATAGCAAAGCCTAAGAATAGGGTTACTTGACTTAAGATCCTATGTCCCTATGTCCCCTAGGGGTCATCCATAAAGTACGTCACATGTAAAGAGGGGGGGAGGGGGTTGACAATGTGTGACATGGTGTGACAAGGGGTGGGAGGGGTCCTACGTTTCGTGACATCACATTTCAATTGTTTCAAATATTTGATATAATGTTGATTTCATAAAAAAAAGTACTTAATTTAAATGGAAATAAAACTAATTTCGGAACTGCTGTTAATTTAATAATTTTTCGATGTGAAATTGCAAAACATGNCAAATATTTGATATAATGTTGATTTCATAAAAAAAAGTACTTAATTTAAATGGAAATAAAACTAATTTCGGAACTGCTGTTAATTTAATAATTTTTCGATGTGAAATTGCAAAACATGTGACGTCACACTAGGGAGGGGGGGGGGTCTCAGAAATGTGACCACCTGTGACAAGAACGGAGGGGGGGGGGTCAAAAAATCATGAAATTCGTGTGACGTACTTTATGGATGGCCCCCTAGATGGGGCAGAGGGCGTCCACAGTCCTCTATCGCGATCAGTCTTGAACTTCGCGTTATTAAAATAGGGTTGACCCTGAATCATCTCATGAACCAAAAACAGGCAGAGAGAAGACGTGTACTTCAAGAAACAAACAACGACCTTATTAAACAATTTAGAATCTCTGACCAAATTATTTAGAAGGTATAGTGTAAAACTTGAAAAAACTTTTTTTCAGTTGCAGGTGTTGTTACCACTAGACCACCAAGTGCTACCACTTCACAGACAACATGGGCAACAAGGCCTCAGATGACCAGCAAGCCCNCCAAGCCCACTACTAAACAGGTAACAAAATAATTCTCAGTGGCGCAACTATAGGGTGGCAGGGCTGACAAAATGACCGAGGGGCCCCCGGCCCAAGACCTTAATCGATGGTCGCTTCAGGCCGATGGTCCCGGGGCCCCCCTGAAAAATAACCCTACTTACGTCAAGGGCCAATTTGTCACGGGCCTCGGATGATATAGTTACGCCACTGATAGTTCTAAAAAATTAAATGGTAACCTATGTTATCCGTGGTCAAACTAAAGAATCTTAATTGGTATTTAAAATATTGTATTTCAGACTTGGCCACCTATGTACCCAACACAACCAAGCAAGCCCACACAACCTCAACCAGTTGTTGACTTTTCATGCGGAAACAAGAACGCCAAGGTAAATATTTATAACTAGCTTTTGCCCGCGGTTTCAGCCGCGTGAAATTTAGTTTGTCACAGATCGTCATAAATTATAGCCTACTAGCTTTCCGCCCGCGGCTTCGCCCGCGTGGAATTTTGTCTGTCACAGAAAAACTTTATCGCGCGCGTCCCTGTTTCAAAAACCGGGATAAAAACTATCCTATGTTCTTTCCCGAGACTCAAACTATCTCTATGCCAAATTTCATCAAAATCGGTTGCGAGGTTTAAGCGGGAAAGCGTAACAGACAGACAGACAGACAGACAGACAGACAGACAGAGTTACTTTCGCATTTATAATATTAGTTGGGATATGTTATTCTGGGTTATATACAATAATACTGTAAACATCAAAATCCGTTCGGTAGTTTTTGCGTGAAAGAGTAACAAACAACCAGACATCCAAACTTTCGCATTTATAATATTAGTAGGATTATTACAATTTTATAGTATTTATAATATTAGTAGGAAATTTCAAATAACTTTATGACTGTTCATCCAAGACCCGCGCAAATAAACAGAAATGCCATGAAATAGAGTGCAAAAATGAAATTTTTGGTTTACGATTTATAGATCAAAGAAGACGAGCGTATCGTTGGTGGCCATAATGCCGAGCTGAACGAGTGGCCGTGGATAGTGGCTCTGTTCAACGGCGGTCGCCAGTTCTGTGGGGGCTCTCTCATGGACGACAGACATGTCCTATCGGCTGCTCACTGCGTGGCGCAGTAAGTGTTGTTGAAAATTATTATTTTTTTGCGAATTCCTTCGAAAGTCCTCCCAAAAATATTTTGCGAAAGCTCGATACATTATAGGACGCATTTACACCTTTGCAGGTAGGATTTTATGAAAAAAAAAATAGTGTGGAATTATGATCTTAATCTGACAATAGTGCAACATAAAACTTTTTTTGGTTTTTTTGCAGAACTTCTGTTCAAAGATGATAGACAGCTTAAAGGTCTGTTCTACATCATTGCAATAATACTTACTAAGTTATTATAATTAATAATTCAGAGCTATCAATAATAAATAATTTATTAATCGATAGTCTTGTACAAAAGACATCAACGCACTCTTGCAAAAAAAAACAATAAAAAAATTCGAAATATATTTTTTTCTTTTTTTTAGTATGACATCTTGGGATGTAGCTCGTCTGACTGCGAGACTTGGAGACCACAATATTCATTCGAACGCTGAGACTCAGCACATCGAAAGGAAAATTAAACGCGTCGTACGACACCGAGGTTTTGACATGCGAACCCTGGTAAATACACAAACAATTTTGTACCTATTTGTACCTTTAACCGTTTTATAGCCGGACTAAGTATTTGAATATACTGTAATTCATTTCACAGTATAACGACATCGCCATCCTGACTTTGGATCAGCCAGTAAAGTTCACAAAGGCGGTGCGCCCTGTTTGTTTGCCCAGCGGAGGAAGAGCTTACGCTGGTTTAATGGCCACTGTAATCGGCTGGGGCAGCTTGCGAGAGAGTAAGTGATCATAAAAAACATATTTTTTTACTTAAATCTCCAAGAGTTAAAATGCCAAGACAATGATCTTTGATGAAAATAATACGAGTCTATTTTTGTGATGGATCTAACACAGCGAAAAGGCTACAAGACCATGGGTAAAAAGGGTAAAATTAATATGAAAATGCGACATTGATGTACGATGCACTATATCATTTACCGCAGACACTCTATCTGGACCCAAGTCACATTAACTAAATAGAAGCTATAATGAATATAATGTAAACTTGCCTTTATTTTTCTAGGTGGTCCCCAACCAGCGACTCTGCAGGAAGTTACGATTCCGATCTGGTCGAACGCAGAGTGCCGGCTCAAGTACGGCGCGGCTGCTCCCGGCGGCATTGTAGAACACATGCTGTGCGCTGGAAAGGCTAACATGGACTCTTGCAGCGTAAGTGTTAAAAAAAGAAAAATAAGCTTCAAATAAAAAAAGAAAATAAGTGACATACCTTTTTTTCTCCGATATAACTTTTTTTCACAACTTTTTACTGGAAAATCAAAGTTGAAATCACAATTTTGGAAAGGTCACATTTAGTTTTGCAATATTGTATATTTTTTTTTTGTTTTGAGGCCTATTATTAAAAAAAAACTTAAAACTCGATTCCCACTGATTGTAACTGAAATTCAGCCAATCACAGGCTAGAAACTTTTTTTTATCTTTCAATCTAGTTTTTAGTTTGAGCAGGCCTGTTCATCTCCGCGAGTTTACATCGAAAACAAAAAACGCACGATGGCCCACCTACAGGATACTATTCGACAAGGCCTCACATACGGGCGAACATTGACTCACGCACGCGTATTCTTGTGTATGATGGAAGAAAATAAAGAAAATGGTATGGTAATGGTATTTAACTGCCTAAATAATAATAAAAACACAGAATGTACTTTTTTAAGTTGCCTCACGACACTGAGAGGTAAATAAGTAGTTAATATTATTCATGATAATTCATGCTAAATCATTTATTTCCTCCACCATTTTCCGCAGTTTGGCACCTCACGTTACATCATTTTACCGAAGTCAGCCCTATAGCTTCGGCTCAGTGCCGATCACTGACGTTTGTCAACAAAATGGTGCTTGACTCTTGAGACAGGCTAAATTACACCATATTGTTAATGACATTGAGCACACATTTTTTAAATACCTTCGCGAAGTAAAACTTCTGTACGTAGTACTTATTATTATTCTGTGGTTTGAGTTTCATTTCACTATGCGGACTTTATCGTGAAAAATGGTCCTTATCCTTTAATTTGTTATTTTTATTTTTTGGTCATAATTTAATGTATTTATGATCTCTTTTTGTTTATAACAGGGTGACAGCGGTGGTCCCTTGATGGTGAACGAAGGAGGCCGATGGACGCAAGTGGGCGTTGTGTCTTGGGGCATTGGCTGCGGCAAAGGGCAATACCCAGGGGTGTACACGCGCGTCACCGCTTTCCTGCCTTGGATTCAAAAGAACTCGAAATAAACTACCTTATAAGCCTGAAAGAACCCGCATGAGATGTTTGAGAAAAGTCTTACAATCGATTTAGTTGAAAGAGTAGGTCTCTAATATGCCGAGAAATACACATTTCGAATCTAGCATGGTAAACTGTTTAAAAAAATCCAAATTGATCTAACTGCTTATTCCATATAAATATTTTGTGCGGGAACTTTTTTAATATTCCTAAAATCATTCAAAATTGAACACGATGATTCATCAATTATCTTGAGAAAGACAACCCTGCAGAACTTGCCTTTCTTAATAAATTGGTGATTGTAATGAACAGTATTTGCGGAAATGGTATGGGGACTGAATTGTACTTAGTTTGTGAAAATCGTGCCAATTAGTTTAAGATTATAAATAAAAATATTCGATTTAAAATGGGCATTATTTATTTTTAATTTTCTATATACATTCTAGCTCTGTTGTTACTTTTAGAGAAAATTACACTACTTCATATTATTAAAGATTCCTAATTCAGTCTTAATAACATTACAATAATAAAGCTAGTACATGATTGTATATTAAACATCAGTATCACATAATTTCCTTACAGTAAAATATCACACACTATATGGTTGAGTAAAATACAAATTAATACATAACATACCTCTTTTTCTACATGTCAAAGTTGGAAACATGCAGTTGCTGCAGTATATTTCTTGCTGTAACAAGAGAAAACATCGAAATTAAATTAGGCTTAATTGTGAAAGAAATAGGTACCAAAAACTTGATAACAACCATATTCCAATTGTTACACAGACTTGTTGCGAACTTTTTGGCGACTTTGGGTGTCACGATCTATTTGATGCTGACGTACATTTATTATACCGGGCTACAAATAGTTAAAGTAACTCCTTACAAGCTGGCTCATTTTCGTTTATTAGCTATAACTCAATTCCTCTAATTCGACTCAAATCAAAAAAATCATTCAGTATCCATTCAAATTTTGCAAACGCAAACTTAGAAGTCTAAACATAGGTATTTTTATACCATCCTAAGTCTTAATTACCTTGAAAATATCCAGTGTCGTGCAAATCATCTGGCGTCGGCACGAAAGGCGGCTCCGCGCTGAGCTGGTTCTCCCAGTCGACGTTCCTGAAGAGAGACATCTTCTTGACTGCGGTAGCCGCAGGCCGCTCTTTGGGGTCCATGGTTAGAAGACCCTCGATCGCACCGACGGCCTCGGCTGATAGGGCTTCGTCGCCTTCTGGCCATTCAATGTCTGTAAGGCCACCATGCGCCAATTTTAACTTTATGTGATAATTTTATGGGAAGATATAATAACTTATAGCTTTATAGCTACAAACTTCTATGGAGATTTTAATTTAAATAGTTTCATCTTATGGACGTATCAAAAACATTTTTTTCGCGCAACAATAGAACCGCCTTCGTTGAGTCTCATGTGTACGCTTGTTAAGTTCAAATAGTCTTACATACGTCTTGACGTCTAAGCCGTGTTTACATGCAGTTTGAACTTTCACATAATTTGATACAGTCATAATAATAAAATTAAAAGTTGTGTCAGTATTTACTTACTTCTAGATAAAATATTGGTGAAGACGGCTTGTGGGGTTTCATCGTTAAAAGGAGGAACGCCAGTCATAAATTCATAAAGACACACGCCCAGCGCCCACCAATCCACTGAAGGGCCATGTCCTTGCCTGGTAAATACAAAAACGATGGATTTAAAAATATACCTACGTATGGTAAACCCTTGCCAATAAAACTATAAGAAAAGATTCAGATAGTTTTGAGCTTACCTCAACAACAACTCAGGCGCTAAATAGTCGGGTGTTCCCAAAATTCTTTGATCAGAGACTTGATTTCCACGCCGCACGCTTTTAGGCGTTCTGTATGGAGTGTGGGCGGTCGCCACTGGTGTTTTACAAAGGTCCGTTGGTGATCTGTCATCCTAGAATAAACATCCAGCTTTAATTATATTATCTTCCACAATAATACGATTTCGATGTTTATAGACATATTAATATATCCTGTACTTACTCTGCTCATACGCCGTGACGGGAATATCTCCAAACTAGTGGAAATATGTTTACTGAACACGATATTTTTATCTTTAGCTCCAGATGCCGGTTGATCATCCTTGGGCAAGTTAAATCGCGTTGCCTTGTGCATTTTCTTGGCGCTCGGTGACTTGTCATTGGACACTGGAGTTGAGAATATCACGCCTACATTAAAATGGTGACTATCATCTTGAGATGCCCATCTACAAAAAATAGTACCATTGTTTTACTTATCGAAATGTCACTGCTGCAGCTGATAGACACATTTTTGTTTTTACATTTTTAAGTTACCTCTTTTTAAGGACACCCTTTATTGGATTCTTCCGCCTATCTGGGGTAGGATGAATAGCCATGCGTTTTGGTGTGTTCTGACTTAGCTCCAACGCCATTATCTCTTGAGTAAGCCCACTGTGATTCTCTTTGGACTCAGCAAGGCTTGTCACACCTGTAGGCGTATCTCCATCCCCGTCTAATATTCTTTTCCTCTTTTTCGCTCTGAAACTATTGACAAAAATGGTTTAATTTTGGGCTCAAGATATCTTAGTTGATAGGTTAAATGATATAAGATCATACCTAGGTATTCTCTTCAAGGAATTCCCGCGGCACACAGGAGAGGTTGACTGGTCATGTTGGGAGTCAGTGAGTACAGCAGACTCTCCTAAGGATGACCCATTGTTGCTGCTTATGTCAGTAGACTTGTTGCTCTTCGAGTTGCTACTGTTTTTAGAACTTTCGCAAGTGTGGTAGGAGCTGAGAGATTCAGATCCAGAATCTTGAGACTGAAAAGAAGTTTTTATGCAGTCTTTTTATGTGACCACCATAAATAGCAATGGAAGAACAAAATCTTGAAATTACTATGCATAGGTCATAGAGCCCCCGCGCATTAGGCGGCCAAGCCGCGCGGTCAGATCGCGGCGGTCAACTATTTCTTCTGTAGTATACGCGCGCGCAACGCGGCCTGGTCGATCTATAATATTTCGTTGACCGCAGACATAGCCGCCTAATGCTCGGGGGAATATACTAGATAGTTACATAATATTTTTTATACATACAACTACATCATCCAGGTTGATGCTTTCTGCGCTCATGAAGGGATGGATCCCAGAAAGTTGAGAATGCTCCATCAGCTGAGAATTTTCTAATCCACTAACACCATCAAACATACCCTGCAGTTTACCTGTGAACAATACATAGCACTTACAATTTTAAAAATATTGCACCTTGCAGAGGTAATGAGTATGTTAACAAAACTTGTAACTAGTGCAACTATCTAACCATTTCAATTAGCACAGGTATAATTTTGTTTTGTACTACTGACTTTAAAATTAGTCATCAATATAGGATTAATACAAAGGCAAGCAATGCAGTACTTGGTTAGTTTAAATGCATTAAGTTATTAAAGCATTGATTTTCATACTAGTCTCCTTAAGTTCATCAATGAGGTTCTCACAAGCATCAGCAGACATGACAGAGGTGTGGGTGGAGTCTCCACCGCCAGAACCAAAGGACAGGTGTGAAGTTAAAGACAACAGCTGGCCGGGTGTTCTCATGTTCAAACTTGGTGTTCGATTAACAAAATCTGATATTTCCAAATCTGTAAAAAACAATTTATTGCAATTACATTTTTCAGTGTGTTTTTGCATTCTATAAACAGTGAGGTATTTTGATACATTCTTAGATCTCTAAATATAGAGCTCTAAACATCATGTAGCAACTTAACAATATCTTTACCTCTATGTATTTCAATTCTAGACAAACCAAAGTCTGTGAGTTTTACATGACCACTTTTAGCAATCAACATATTGTCTGGTTTCAAATCTCTGTGCACTATATTATGTTTGTGCAAATAATCCAATGCTAGAGTTACTTCTGCTACATAGAACACCGCCATTGACTCTTCCAGAAACCCATAAACATTTAGAAGAGACTTTAAATCTCCACCAACCATGTATTCCATTACCTGAAAATTAGTAAAATAAAAAATAAAAATTATTTTACTAAAAAGTGTTTGCACTATGGTAATGAAGACATAAAATTAAATAATTGATTTATTTTACTATAAAAAATTAATTAGGCCCTTTGAAAATTTCCAAAAACAAACTTTTCTGTTCACTGCCTAGAATATGGCTACAAAACTGTACCAACTTATGATACTGATGTGACATGGCATATTAGGGGCCAGTCCCCTCCTGAAAAATAACCCTAGATATGCCAACGTGTACATCTTCTGTACTTTAAACATTAGGTAGAAGAAACTTTGAGGAGGTCCACCTGGTGGTCAATGGGCACATTACACATATTGTTGTAAATCGATGCAACACTATAGGTAGTGCTGAGGTAGGCCTCAAATACTGCTGTGAAACATAAGCTAATATTCTTACAGACTTACCAGATAAACTGAAGATAAGGACTGCAATGAATAGAACAAATGCACGCAAAACGGACTCCTTGATAATGCCAGTGCATTCCTCTCAGTTACAACTTGTGCAACCATGTTTTTGTTTATCATATCAGATTTTTTCATAACTTTTATGGCATACATCAGTTCTTTGTTATTCTTTTTGTGCGCTAGAAATACTTTTCCAAATGCACCACGACTGATGGGCTTGACTATAGTAAAATCATTAATATCTGGAGCCTAAAAATAAAGGAAATATAAGTAAGCACAATAAATAAAGGACTTCTACCCAATGTTACAAAAAAATACCTACCTTGGTTATCACGGTTTCATTGATAGCATTTATTTTTTCCAAAATTGTGTGACATTCTGTGGTGTCTGATAATTTTGAATCATTTGAGGTCATTTTTGTACAATGCTATCTTTCTTCTTCTGATAAAATTAAATTCAAACCAACGTAAAATTAACCTTTGAGCTGTTGCCGTTGTATGATCCTGTCACGCCTGTCACTGTCATTTTTGTCAAATCTGTCACTATCATTCTAATATTTAGTATAGATGACCCACGCTGAACTGTCCCACCAAACTCAATGACAGGGGGGCGCTACCATCGTTCAACTATATGGTTTCCAACATGGCAAAAATCTGAACCAGCAATCCGGTATTGACGGTGGCGCCCCACTGTCAATGTCATCGACAGGACAGTCTAGTATTTTGGAACTATAGTCCGAAATCATGTCATACCGGAATAAATTAAAATTTAAAAAAAAAGTGAAAAATAATTAACACAACCTACAAATAACATTCAAAATTCCATTTTGAAAGTAAATGTTGCACTGCACGCGTTGTTGGTAGCAACCACACCAACAACGCGTGCAGTGCCCCGATTGCGCTAATTTTTAACGTCTCCAAATTCATTGGCGCTTCTTCACCAGTTGCGCTCCGTTTTTCATTCCATCTGAGGTGCAAATTCGGTACCGCGTTAAAGTTCATGCGCAAACCGCAAACAAAAACAAAACACTCCATTACAAGTCCGGAAACCTTATTTTTTCACTAACACACAACAAATGTTCGTGAAGGCGTTTGAGAAAAAGTAGCTTTCTTTTAGCTTTTACACAAAGAAGCGTTTGTTTTTCGACACTGCGATACGAATTTGTGATTTTCGTTCGTCGTCTCTAGTCGCGTTTTAGTTGAAAATATTTAGCGCAATCGGGGCCAAGATCGCAATCGTAAATTATAATGGGTCGCGCGACCTGTCATTAGCCTTTGATCGCGCCGGCTATCAATCATTGCCTGCGATGGTGCCGATCTGTGGGTCTAGAGAAAGTGCACATTAAAATCGCAAACGAGTCGAAAAGTTGTCGAAAAGCCTTTTTTGTAGGTATGGAGTTTTGACAGATTCGATTCGATCAAAAAGTAGGTACATTTTGTCTAGGGGGGCTGCACGCATTGGTGTGATTCTCGGCTTGAGAAATCTGCCGGCGCGCCATCGAAAACTTGTCAAATTAAATGTAGAAAACGCTTCTATAGTTTGTCATAGGACCTACTTTTTTCAACTGTGTGACATGTTCTATGGTAAAGAAAAAGTTAACCAACAAGACCATATTAAAAACGTTTATCTCCACTTAGAATTTCACTCATTGCAAAATAGTCACTTCTCGATTCTGCAGGTCGAAACGCATTGGCTGAAAGCTTGCACTAGAGATGAGCACATCAAAGGCTGATGTGGATTTTCTTCATAACATTGTAAAATCTGTAAAGTAGGTCGTTTTGTACCACAGGACAGAGCCCCGATTACGGTAATTTTTAACGTCAACAATCCAGACACGCTTCTCGATTCTGAGATACGATTGGTCGTTCAACAGCGTACGTCAGCTGTTTTGACCAATCGTATCGCAGAATCAGAAACGCGTCTGGATTGTAGACGTTATAAAAGTTACCGTAATCGGGGCTCAGGCCACACACGATTAAAGCCGGTACGGCTAGCACGAAAAACTTTCGAGTTCGAATCGTTTGCGTATTCGAATCGCATTCAAAATATTTATACGAGAACTACTTACAACAGCGCCCTTTTAAACGTGTCGTAAAATGAACTTCGTATGAGAAATGGTTGCACGAAACTTATTTTGAGAATCAAAATTGTCACGTTATCGTTTAATTCGAAGGTTGAGTATCGAAATTTGTCGAATACGCAAACGATTCGAAGATGAAAGTCGTTCATGCTAGAGGTTCGGGTCTTCAGCGCGTGTTTTGTCCTACAACATTCAACATTTTTTGTAAGCAATTTCATTGAATGTTGAGATGTTTTTGTTGATTATGTAAGGCTTTTGCCCGCGCTGGGAGATCCAGCTTATTAGGCATAACTACTTGCCTCATAACTACGCATCCCATATGTCATTACCTTAGCACGCCAGTCCAAACAAGGTTTAATTTTTTGTAGCTTATCGTTTGTTACTTTAGGAGGTTCAAATGTTTTATTAGTATTTTCTACAGTTTTTTCATACTCGGCTTCTATAATTTTGTTTATAGATTGATGCTCCTTTTTAAGAAATTCTATTCTATGAGCCCAATAGTCGCCATCGCCCTCTTCCGTTGGTTCTATTGACTTAATGTCTTTAAAAATTAGGTCATCATCAGGATCCTGTTGGAGTTTTAAGAATTTACACACAGAACAATATGGAGGATTTTTAATATAAACTTGTAAAAACTACCTTATCTATTTTACTAAAAAACATTTAAGTTAGTAAACCTTTAAGTAAATAATTGCTTACTGCTGCTAGGTCATCCAATGCAACTACGTTTTCATCTTGGATAGAATTTTGTATATTCAATGCAGGAGCTAAAGCAAATGTATTATCAAAACTAACTCGACGCGTATCTTTACTTGATATTATTCCCATCTTGAAAGTATTATTTGAGTCAAAGAATAGAAAAACAAATAATTTACAACATTAATAAATTTTAAAGTAAATGGCAGACATTAGACAGCGGATGGGTAGACAAGTGATGTACGAATGACATAAGAATCTTCTAAAGAGGATTTTATAATTTTAACTTCTGCCGTCTAGTTCTCCTACTTTGCTGAACTTTTGTATTTAATGTTGCTAATGATGCGACACCATTTTAAATTATGGAAATTACATCGTAAGTAATGCTCTAAAAATATTGTGCAAGTGCATACAGAATTTTGAGCTTTTTTTCTCTAAAATTGATTTAGCGTAAATTCGGACCGTAGTCTATGGTAGTCTAATAACTTTTCTCTGCAGTCTATTAGTTCTACCACAGATATGGATAGATGCAGCATGTGTCAAAAATTGTATGAAGCCGAGCGTGCCACTTTTTAAACGTCATTAGTGTCATTTTAGCGAATTTTAGTGATTGCCGCAACGTAAAAGTAATCGTATCATCGTACTGCATTCGCAAAGTCATCGAAAGATATCGTGTGACTCGATTCGAAAATTTATTAATTCCTATAAAACTGATAATTTGTTAAATACAAAACCAAAAACATCTTTATTTACCTTTTTAAAATAAAGTAATTCTTACAATTCGTCAAATCTCGTTATTTTTTTTACCCTACCAGCGTTTCAAGACATAAATTTGTCAAGTGCATGAATACATGGATCAGTGTGTGTCTTATTGTTATGAGTAAGTACGGTTCCTTGGGATCGGTATGAGTGCACCACATAATTACAGGGACCATGGTTTTAACTCTTATGAGTACATAGCAGGATATGTATTAAAAACAATGCTACTTTATACTTCTTCTACTGCTACTTTATTCTAATTAATTATTTGCTACTTGTGCTGTTAATTACAATTCTCAATCCGTAAATAATATCTTCATTCTACCGTGTTCGTACTACTGTTCTCGTAAAATCATCGTANTCATTACCAGAGCCCCGATTACGGTAATTTTTAACGTCAACAATCCAGACACGCTTCTCGATTCTGCGATACGATTGGTCGTTCAACAGCGTACGTCAGCTGTTTTGACCAATCGTATCGCAGAATCAGAAACGCGTCTGGATTGTAGACGTTATAAAAGTTACCGTAATCGGGGCTCTCGTCCCCCTCAGGAAATGGCGAAATTTTTTTGTATGGAAATAAACGCGCGCTGCTACTCCTGTTATTTCTGCTCTCTGACATCACTCGACCATGTATGTCCATTTGGACATATCGGAATGGCACGCTTTGACGATCAACTTGCTGTATCTACTCTAATCCTAATCCATATCTGTGAGTTCTACGATTCTGTGATTAGTTCTGTCATGATGACAGGTGTTGTCAATCTGACAGTACGCCTGTACGCCTTTCTGTTTGTTCTGTGTTGTTCATTTTATGTCGCAAGAAAATACAAAATAAATTACTTATCCACAATAATTTTGTAGATAATGTCCTTGTACGACGATCTTGATACAATAAAAGCCCGCACGACAGAAAAGGTAGCAGGATGGTCTTCAGGTATAAAATTACTGCAATCACAACTGCAACTAAAAAAAGCTGCAGTAACTCAACCTAAAAGAGAAGCTTTACGTCGTTCAACACAGGTAAAAGGAGCTAAAGTTTGATATTGATTTACTTTATTATGCAGTTAATGTGCAATTTCATGAAAATAATTCGGTTATGATTTTTATTACCCTAACCTGTAATTTAATATTTTACATTGAAAGGTTTTAACACCTGTTATCGACCTGAAAAGTAAACAAAAAGATGAGGATGAGTCAAATTCAAACAGTCCCAATTCACAACCTAAAACTCTGACAGCTTCACTAAATGTTCGAGATTTTGATTGGAATGTAGCAAATGAGTATGATCCTATGTGGCCTAATGATTACGAAAAAGTTGCCAAAGGTTGGTATAAGTTTTATCATTCTATTATTCCAAAATATTGACTTGTGATAATCGACATTATTTTATAAATGTTTTTATTTTTTATTTCTTAAACTTTTTCCAGAAATGCAAGCTAAAAGATTACAATTAGATGGTGGAGACAGAACTGAAAGGACAGAAAGAAAACGAAAAAGTAGATTTGGTGATGATGATGATGTTATCCCTGAAAAAACACTTATACCAATGGTAAATAAGGCAAATTTTTCACTTGTTTAATTGAGATAATTCATTCAGGATACTTGATTTTATAAAATTACTGTTACAGTTAATAAAAGCAATGCAAACTATTTTTCTGTTGAAAAGTAACTTGTAACTAATAAGATATCACAGTGCTTAGCTTTCACCTTAATTCCATCTATTGAATGGATAACTTTTAAAATTTTGATTGTAAAATGTTTATTATTTCAACCACAGCAACCTGAAGAAGAAGAAGCTGAAGAAATATCTAAACGTGCTGCTGGTGCTGCAATTGCCCCACCACCATCATTGACTGTTGAGACCCCATCACCACCCCCTGCCGTACCCAGCCCTAACCCCCCTGCAGCTGGATTTTCTATAGGTGGCTATGGTGCTAGCTCAGTAGCTGCCAAAATTATGGCAAAATATGGATTCAAGGTATTTCAGAATTATGTTTGCTAACCTTATTTTTTAAAGTTTTTTTTTCACTTATCTATCTTTCCTTGTTGATTTCTGGGTTTTTTAAAGCCAATTACTTTTGCTTAACTATATCCTTCTCATTTAAATGTCTACTGATAAACATATTTTTTTAAATTAGGAAGGTCAAGGTTTGGGTAAAAAAGAACAAGGCATGTCAGTGGCTTTACAAGTAGAGAAGACCTCTAAGCGTGGTGGAAGAATTATACATGAAAAGGATGGAGGAGCCATGCCACCACCAGCATTTGCTATGCCTGCTGCTCCTGGACCAGGTTATTATTTTCATCATTAATTATGATTTTTGATATTACTAAATTTGAAGAAACTGGATAGAGACTAAACTAATGCCAATGGTAGTTAATAATGAAAAAATCTCTTATAATGTATAATTTATTAAAATCCTTTTTTTTGTTAATATTTTTTTTTAATTTTATGATTATTTAATATTATGCCAAATGTATTTTTCAGATTCTCCAAATGCTTCTTCTAATTCCCCACAAACAAAACAAGAGCCATCAATTACTGAAATAATGAAGTCACCGAGCAAAGTAGTTTTATTAAGAGTAAGTAAATTATTTTCTTTGGGAATATTCAGATATTGACTTTCATAATAAAGTTTAAAAATGCATTTTTGTTTGCAGAATATGGTGGGCCCTGGAGATGTGGACGAGGAACTTGAACCAGAAGTAAAAGATGAATGTAACACGAAATATGGAGATGTTATAAAAGTTTTAATATTTGAAATGCCAAATGCGCCTTCTGATGAAGCTGTGAGAATATTTGTGGAATTTAAACGAATTGAAAGTGCTATTAAAGCAGTTGTCGACCTCAATGGCCGATTTTTCGGCGGTCGTCAAGTGAAGGCGGGATTCTATGATGTAGAAAAATTTGCTTCATTACAATTAACTGAATAAATAATATTGAATACCATAAAATAAGGTGTTTCAATTTTTCATGTTAGTTGGAGAGACTTACATGGATAAAAGTTAAAAAGTATTATTAAATATTATGAGTAATGACACTATTATTTTAATTATTATTTATTTATAGCATCTAAATCAAGGTTTGTCTGGGAATTCCAGGGAATAAAATACATTTTTAGTTGATTTGATACTTTATACGTATTCTTATAAAATCTTTGGGTTGTGGCCAAGCTTGGCCTGTTGTTTAATCTGTGGTCAAAATGACAGATAGTTCCAATGCTGCCAACATGAAGAAGTCTGACAAGGGATGTACGCAGAACTTTATCGAGTTATATGTCGATACTTTTTGTTAATAATTTGAAATTATTTGTATTGGTATAGGAAAAATTACCTAAGAATTAATAAATCAAAATGTTGCATGTTCGTTGGTACTCATCTATTTAATGTTCTGAGTATCCGCAATAATGACGATCTAAGCGTATTCTGTCAGATCGTTAGTTCACCGAGTTGGAGGCCTGTGGTGGAGACGCTTTGCTTTAAGATCCAATCGTTGTTAATACAAAACTCCTTTTGTCCGATTTAACTTTCCCAAAAGAGTTATTGTAAAAAATCTGGTCGACTTATGACACTACTGTCGATATCAATTACATTAAGAAATAACCACATCACTACTGTCAAGCTGTTTTGTCAAATGTCGTGTTCAATCATCAATTTTACAAAAAGTCTGTCTTTTAGATTTACTTACAGTGATTTTGAGGCATTGGAAGTGATTTGCATTACTAATTGATTATCAAGTTACGGTCACTAACCTAATTAAAAACAATGATTAAGTATAATTACTATGTGTAGTCATTGAATGTAAGAACCAACTAGTGTTTTAAAATTTTCTTTTAATATTATTAAACAATGGCTTTTTATTCTTGCAATCGTTACAGACTCTTAGTTTTAGTTTTGTTAGGATTGATAATGTGGCAAGTGTTTCAGTTGTTGCCAAAAAAACAAGTACAAGTGACTGAGGTGAGTTCACAAAATCCTTCATAAATTCCATTCCATAGGCTATCCATTCTCATATCTGACATAATGATAATCCCAAATAATTCTTCTATAATATAGTTTGACGTATCTTATCTATCCATAGCAATAGGAGGGAAATCAATGGTTAGGATAGGAAAGCTTACTGTTTTACTTGTAGCCATTGTGAACATTTTTTGAATGAATGCCAGTGTTGTGGGATTTATTTATTTTATTGTATATTAAACCGATTTTCCTAAATTATAAGTTGTTTAATCCATAACCTGCAGATTTGAGTTTAAAATCTTTTAAATTTCTATACTAAGATTTTGTTCCTTTTCTTTTTTTATACATCATGTAGTGAGGAGCAGGTTTAAGGGTCTTTCATCAATAATACAATAATAAATAGTCATTAGTTTTTTTGTTACACTTTCCAATATTAAATCATAATTGTTCACGAATTTGAACTCAGGTTTGAAATAATTTCATACTTATTATTAAAATGAAAAAGTCTGCTTTATATTCACAAATAAGATTAAATGAAAAGTGTTATGAAAAGTTTTATAAAGGTTTTTAAAACAAAAGATAAGATATTTTACTACTGAAACAGTATATTTATAGGTACACATTAGATAGTTTAGTTTATGAAGCTATGAGATCTTAACCAAAAGTTTCCTGTTTGTGACAGTACACAGTAGGTATTCCTGACATTAAGTGTAACTTTGACCTNGTTTTATAAAGGTTTTTAAAACAAAAGACAAGATATTTTACTACTGAAACAGTATATTTATAGGTACACATTAGATAGTTTAGTTTATGAAGCTATGAGATCTTAACCAAGTTTCCTGTTTGTGACAGTACACAGTAGGTATTCCTGACATTAAGTGTAATTTTGACCTTGTTCAAACAGTTAAATTAGTCATTATGCATTATGTGACAATTTTATTTTATTTTGTTATTTTGCTTTTTATTTTCATACAAACTGAATGTTTTATATGAATGTGTATGGAACAATATGAGCCTATGTTTAGTAAAGTAGCAGCAGTTTCTGTTATACATTACAACACACTGCATCAATATTAAAATGAAATGTGCACAGATACAAGAAAATAATTTTTTTTAAGACAAGGACGGGGTGTGATTGGTATCATAGGTCATGAATTAGTACTACCAACTATCATCTTCTAATTGGTAGCCCAAAATCCTGGGGGGCACCAGACCATTCTGGGTTGGGCACCACTATTATATGCGCATGAAAATAAGAAGAAGAATAAGAAAATTATCTGCTCAGTTGTACACCAGCTACAAGAGATATGTACACAAAAAAATTGGGGATTAAAAAAAACATAACATCTCTGAAATGGTGATACTTTTACTAAAATAATTTTCTTTATCATCCATTAGTCTCCTTAACTCTTTTTGGGTAAAATTGGGTAAAATAAAAAAGAAATAAATATTGCGAGTGTTTTTCTATTAAAAATAAGTGTTGGTCTTAAACTTTCAATACTGTCATGTTTTTTGTTACGCCTACAACGTAAAGTCGGAAAGACCACAGTCAAAGACAAGTAGTTATTCTATTTATTGGTCAGTTTAATAAAAGCTTGTAAATAAAATGAAAGCTTTCCAAAAGATATCACAAGGCCATCTGCTATAGTCAATAAAGTGTTGAAATCGTGTATTACCCAGTTATGTACGTACGTAACGTCATGTGAACCTTGGTGACAGACTTACTTGGTTCAATTGACCATCAGTGCCGATAAATCCCGGTCTGGACTGGTTTAATATGCTAAAGCCGGCAATACACGGACCGCTTGAAGCAGTCAGGGTCGACAGCTTCAAGTTGCGACTGCACAATGAATTGCAGAGTTCTATGGACGCACATACACGAACAGCTCGAGCAGTTGCAACTGATTCGGGCGTTCGACAGCACGGTGAATTTTCATCGAGCGGTCAAGCAGTCGCCAGCCATACACTGACTGCTCGAGCTGTCGACAGCTCTCGCGCAGTTACCTCCGCCGCGTCTTTCCGTTCTATACATGGCCAGAACGCACCCATAGGAAANGTTGTCGCTGGCAGCTTCAAGCTGTTGACTCTTGACTGCAAGAGCAGTCCGTGTATTATGTTGATCACTGACTAACTGCTCGAGCTGTCCGTGTATTGTCGGCTTTAGGTTATTTGGAAAAGACGGCAGCGCGCGTCGGGTAGGTAGTTACTACTTATCTATAAACTGCCTACCATTTTGTAAGGAAATTGTTACTTCATAAAGAAAGACAGTAGATAGATCTGTGCATAATTTATGGAGTCTCGTTAAAACCTCGTAAAAGCTAATTTAACGTAACGAGTCAACGAGTGGGTTCACCACAATAGTCCAGCGCGGCGGGGTTTGAATCCGCGTTCCTCGGATCTCGATTCGACCAGTCCGACCCGACAATGACACCATTGGGCTATTGTCGTATATGAACGCAAATAAGATTTTTTTAGTGGAACATTATTTTTCATGAATGACATCTAATTTTACCGTATTTCCGTCGTAATCGATTTTTCCTTTATGAAATGAAAAATAATAACATTATTGATTTACAGGACATAGTAGAACTGGAAGATGACAGGTATAATAAACACAAGAAAGATAAAGTGAAAGTTAGAGTATACTATGAGGCTCTATGTCCAGATTCTAAGCATTTCTTTATCAAGCATTTATCACCTGTGACGCAAAAACTATCAGAGTTCCTGGATGTAACATTGGTTCCTTACGGGAAAGCCACTGTGAGTATAATAAGGGTTTATATTCGTAATCTAGAATTCTAGACATGAAAGCTATCTTTATTATTAAATGCGCTAAGTAGTCATTTACAGTTAAAATTAGTAGGTAGGTACTCGAAAGAGAAAATACTTTTGAAGAGAGTGAAATAGGCGATGAAATTGTATCGGTAAATGGTAATATCCAGTAACGTATGTACATTATGTAGTAATGAATGAAATTACAGTCATTATCTGTGCAGGCGAAGTGGGCTAAAACTACTTTTCCAAGTATGTTAATGTTTTTGTGGGACTTGTTCGTTCTCCGTATTTTAAAATATGATTCTGTTTCGATTTAGATGCGATACGCTGGTATAACTAAATAATAATATGGATCTCATAAGTAGAATCGGAGCGTACATAATAAAAACAAAATCTCATATTATTTTGAATTTCAGACCAAAGAGAAAAATGGCCAGTATATTTTCAATTGTCAACACGGCGAAGAGGAGTGCTACGCCAATAAAATCCATGCTTGTGCCATCCATGCACTGAACAACACGACACAGGCTGTGAAAATCACTGAATGCATGATTATTGACAATTTGGATGCTGATGCAGCCTTAGAAAGAGTAAGTATTTCGTTGACTTCGGTTTTTATAGGCTTATATGCAATTGGTAACTGAATAACATTTGGAGTTTTAAGAGTTTGATAAATAAGTTAACAAAAAAAATAATATCTGTACTTACCAGTAATTCATTATTGAATCTCGTTAAAAATAACAGCACTTACATGTAATCGAATTCTCATTGGTTCATTGTACGAATCGAATCGAATCACCACGTTCAGTGTTTTAATTTATTGTAAGTTATTCAAATATATTTTTTTGTTTAAGTGTGCAAAAGATGTGAAAGTCGATACCGATCAAATAATCGGTTGCGCTTCGGGAGAGCAAGGGTCAGCATTACTCAAGAAGCATGGAGACGACACCCATATAATCAGCCCCACCTTCATACCGACCATAACTTTGAATGGTTCTAAAGGCAACCAAGCAGCCATTTTGAAAAATTTCTTGTTGGAAGTTTGTAAATTAATTGACATGCCATTACCACCACCATGCTTGTGACGAACAACTAGATCGGCACGATTGATACCTGTCCGATATGATAAATAACGTGCAATTTTTCAGTCTTCAAATGGCGACACGTAGGTTTGATCAAATTCACACAAAGTAGCTATTAGATGATGTTCACGAATGATAACATTTAATACTTTCGCCTAACTAATCAAAATCGATGTTCCTATTTTGAAAATCTAATTAATCTAATCTACAAATAAATTGGGTGGGTACCGCTCGCGGTGGAAAACCCGCAAGGGCTTGATTTTTCAACCGTCGAATTCCTTTTGTGTCAAGAATAAAATTGACATTTTGTCATATTTCCCAACTAGGCTCAATAGGCCAATTTTATTATTAGATAAGTTATTCCATGTTAATAACAATCAACCTTAATTGTAACAATTTTTTAGTCAGAACCTTGTTAGAACAATGAAAAATAAATGTGAAGTGCTCAAAAATTGCTCATAATAAAATATGCTTATTATTACAGAAACGTTTTTATGATTTCTAATTTTTATTAAATCTTTTATTAAATTTATTTTTTCGAATAAAGAATTGATCAATTGTATAAAGATTTAGTCATGAAAGAATCAGGATTTTATTTTTTTATTTGTACTCTATTCAAAAGTATTATTTTTTAATTCAAACAGGTTGTAATAGATTTAACTTAATCTTGTGTAATTATTTTTTCCTCTTTTATTGGTTAGAGGAAGTTCAATGTGAATGAATTATTATTTATTTTTATTTTATTGATGCGCCGTCGTTCGTAGGTACTATGTATTTGGGTTTGATACATACAAACCTTTCCTAAATGTTGTAATTCTTTTTTAAAGTTGTACTTTTTGACTCGTTGTTATTCTCAACTTGATGACTATCGGAATAAAGAGCTGAATGTATTTTTGAAATATTTTTTTTGTATGTTTTCTCGCACTATGAAAACGTAATGCCCTAAAAACTATGTTGTGAAAATGATAAAGTATTACCGTTGAAACATGACTTGACTTTATATTTTCCTATAAATATTTAAGCTAATCATTAGAATTTCTGTACATTAACAATTAAAACGTATTTAACGTCAAACTCTATTTTTAATTGTCTTCGCTGTTTCACAGAACTATGACTACTATGATCAATTAAAAATATGTATTAAAATAGGCATATTATACATATAAGTAGTAAGCTAACGTTTATATAAATAAAATGCCTTTCTTGCCATTTCCATTGAAATGTATCTTCATACTTAAATTGTATGGAAAACCTAAATCATAATAATTACAATGATGATGAATTATTGAAAAGTGACCTATTTTTATTTTACTCAAAATAAATGCTACAATATTATTTTCATAATACGCTAGTAAACTAATTATGAACAAAAATGTGTAGGTGTACGTTGTATTCATTCTTAACCTTCATTTAATGAGCACGATCGAATATTTTATATCAACACTGGGCCCAATAAATCATAATGTAATCGAAGGTTACATTAAGATTAGTGCGATCGCTAGCGTGAAGAAAATGCATTTGTATTATAATAAAAAAATAATCATAGAATACATTAAAATAATAGGAATAATGCGATGAAACTTTACGAAATACAGTTTGGATATGGTATATTTATTTAATGTTTTTTATTTATTTTAAGTTGTTTGTGATTTTTTAATCAAACATTCGGAATCAAGAAAACGTAAGCGACGGATTTCATCCGAGACCATTTGATTACAGATTCCGGATGCTTGGATAAACTTAATACCTAACTTTATCCTTCCTAACAGTATCCAATCTGTATTGATCATAAATCTCTTAACCTGTAATACTTTAACCGTATCTTTTTATATAAAATACGGTGTAAATCCATTAATTTAAGATCTTGTTTTAACTTTCAGTCAAAAAGCGGTTGTAATATGTAATTTTGGATTAATTTTATGAATGTGATTAATAAAACAATTTACACAGTGTGTCATGTTTTTTCTTTCTTTCTGAAATTACACAAACGTGCCTCCAGGAGAGCCACTAGGAACACAGTAATCGTTACGTTACTATACACGTAATAGGTATAAATTTAATTAAGTAGTACTTAAATTACTGAGATTCAATTGATGCGCTCCCGTTACACAATTAACCATTACACCTTCTACTACCATTACCAAGACTGCTTGTAAGTAATTCGATAGGACAGGGCCATTAATCATTCCGATCAAACGGCCACTTACCGTATCATGTGCGACGGCAATAAATTAGTGACTCCCACTGAAGTTTCCACCTTCCCCGTGAGTCACCGCCCAAAGCAAACAACTCCAGTCAATTCAATTTAAAACCCGCTCTGACAACACCAATTTGCCTGCGTCTAAATGGCTACCTTTGCTCCAAAAACCATTTCAAACACAACAATAAATCTTCACTGGAATCACGGTCTAATTTCGTAAAAGCCCCGTCTCGCTTTGCTAATTAATATGAATGGCATTTGCATCCGGCTTTTTCTCGCGTACACCATTTCCAACTATTGTTTTGCAAAGATTCTCACAATTTATTCTTGTTTTTAACCGACTGTACAGACTAAAGGGGGTTATGGAGAACAAAAACAGCTGTTTTATGGCTCTCCTGAAATGAAAAGCTTTTGTATCCTTTTATACAAATTGGGGCCTGTAACTGGTTCAAGTTTTATAATTTAATTTATGGAATAAGATGCTCTGAGTTTATCATTTAATATTAAGCAGCTATATTTTTGTAAAGATTTTTTGAAAAGTAAAATACACATTACAGAAATAACACTTGTAGATTCGCTAAATTATCATCATTCAGTCGATTGCAGTCCACTTCAGGACGAACAGGTTCTCGAGTTAAGACCTACTAAAGTAGGTACGTCTCGGCAACTAAGCAACTAAAGTGACGTACCTACACTCCTTCAGCTCGATAACAGGCTTCAAGAAAGATGATACTTATTTGGCACAAATTTTAATTTCGAAGTGCGTAAGTAAACCAAGGAAAACTGTAAAATTCCGATATACCTAGGAACTCGTAAAGTTTGTAGTATTGAATTACATGTAGGTATTTTTCGGACAATATACAACTGCAACTGTGGCGATGGCTGGCTTGGCAGTAAAGCCGCTTACACACGGTCAACTGACGGCGGCACGGTCGTGTTCGCTCTGACCCGCCGAGTCCCGGTATGGATGCACAAATCTAATGGATTTTTTATGTTGCCAGAAAAACCGACTGCATCAATAAAAGGGGATCTTGCCAAAAGGCTTTATTCGTGCCCTGCGTATATTTTTTATTGTTCAGGAAAGTCGCTCTAGGGCTGTCGGAGTTTCAGGAAAGGACTGAGATCGAAAATCTAAAACTTATGTATTGGTTTTCAGCAGGTATTATGCCGTGCCTTTCCTATCTAAGGATGCCCAGTAAAAAGTATTTTCACCTAGCTGGAGCATCATTCAGCCCCGTTGAAGCTTCAAATCTTGTAATCCACTCCCTGGATATTGCGATTTTTAAGCAATGAATTTATTGAAGAATGTTTTCACTACAACGTTATTGTCGATGTAGGTAAATGAGTAATTTATGGGTTAATCTACAGACACGAGTCAGTTATGAAAACCTTATTAACTATTTTTTTTTCTAATGCAAAGGATGATGGGCATATTGGGCGTTAAACCAACAGAAACAAAAAGTGTACTAAATTAAAGCTTAATACTAGTACTTCATTTCATAGTATGACAACAATCCTGAAATACGCGGGGATACGGAGATAGAGGTCGTTGAATATGCAAAGTTTCCATAGTATTTCATATCACATTAGGGTAATAAAAATAGTATTAGGTCAATTAGATTGCTTTTATCGATCATATTGAGAGTATTCTATCATATCTTATTATCGATTCTATCGATCTAAATGGTACCTAGGTATGGACGCTTATAATGTAGAACATGGTTTAAATATACCATTTGTTGGCCTCACTCCTGAACTGTTGGACATAATAATGGATAAATAACTTAATGTATTTTAAATGTAAGTAGATAAGTATATTAATTAATATTTTTTGTTTGCGCACTAAAGCACCTATTACTATTACACATTATGTCAATTTCCAAGCAAACCCGGGAGTTTTTGGTAGTTATTTATATGAAAATACATTTCTGATATTAAAATCTAACAAATAATAGTAGTTACATTTCTGTTGGTTTTACGCCCAGATTACATAGAAAAGTGCCCATCATCCTTTATTTATTTGCTTAAAACTACCTACCGACTTATCGATTATTTGGATGAGTTAAAGTCTCACTATACAGCATTTTCTATCAGCAATCCTTAAGTTAATAGGTAGGTATAAGGTAAAATATCATTTCAGATCAGCGTGTATTTTTGTATCTTTGATAAGCCTTTAAGTTAAAACATTTTCTGCAAGCAGCCAGGTAGACCACTTACTACAATGCTTTTGATTGTTGCAAATTACATATAAACATAAGTACCTAAGCCACAGGAAAATTGTCATCTCGTAACGATTTGTATCTTACCTAAATTATGGGCGCTGGTTACTAAGGGAGGCATATGCTCAGCATCTTTACATACCAGACTGAAAGCCTTCTAAATCTCCAAACAGTTTACATAAATTAATAGGTTAGACTTACCTAGTTAGAATAATGGCGTCGAAATACTTTAAGTAAATTAGCACATAATATTTAGTAATAAGTTGTATGTTTTAAATCGCTTTGCCCATATAGCGTTGCTGCCGGTGGTGAGCGTGCCGTGTACTCTCATTAAAACTTTCCTCAGGCTGGCTCGCACGTGTTTTTAATTTTTATCGAGAGCACTCGTCGTTACGAGCGTGCGGCTTCGGCTGCTTTGATTGCGGTAATGACGTCTCTCTGCCCGGCTGTTCTCCGCTCTCGCCACTCAACGAATACCGCGCACTATCTTCAAATAATAATTTCTTTTCAATTTAATGATGTAGGTACCTACTGGACATTTTAATTACTAAGCTTAATATTTTTCAGATTCGTTAAAAATTTGCGCTCTGAGATGTTTACTTATTCGTTATAATATTATCATGTACCTAATATGAGTGTCCCTGAAGTGTCTGTAAGAGATCGCTTTTAGCTACAGAACCGCCTGAATCGGGCCGTTTGACTTTCAATTTGTATTTCTTGCGTTCAATTTTAAGGATCTAGTTTAGATCAACATTGGTAATAAGTAACTGTCTTATCTTTAATCAATGTCTTCCTTTATTTAGCAGCTAACTAAATAAAAGAAATATTTAAGTAATGGCTTTAGGCTTCCCATAATAGATTCATCTAGTTTTGCGTATTATCTGCTAGTCTGCTACGAATGCAGCCAACAGAAGCAACAAATCCTCTTAGCACGGTCACTGCCGCGCAGCCGTCTGCTCCGACCCTGCTAGCCCGCGCAAGCAACTCTAATGGATTTTTCATGTCGATTGAACACGGCATAGGTATGCGTGCAAGATAATCAATTATTTTAAAACAAACAATCCGAGTTTCCAGGGCTTTGTTTTGACTACTAGTTGTAATAAGATAAGATGGAATGGTAAATTTTAGCTGCTGTTTGCTCATCTAACAAAATATGTGACCAGAATACCTTTCACGTCGACTTTTAACAAAAATTTAGAGACTAGATTAAATATTTTATACAAAAAAAGAGTTGGTGGTGACACATAATAAAGTATCTACTTAGTTATGTTCCTAGATTATAATGTCGTTGATAATAACAAACGATGACAGTTTTTATTTATGCATGACAAGGCAGGTTCGTTCGTTCGTTTCAGCCAAATGACGTCCACTGCTGGACAGAGGCCTCCTCCAAGGTTTTCCACAATGAACGGTCCTGCGCTGCCCGCATCCAGGCTCTTCCCACGACCTTCACCAGATCGTCGTTCCACCTAGTAGGAGGCCTGGTAGACAAGGCAGGTATTTGACCGCAATCGCAGCCAACCTATTAGGTTGTAGATACGCAAAACATCTAAACACGTTTCAACGGTCAAAGTGATTTTGTGGCTCTCTTCAGGCCATTAATAATAATCATTAGGATTGATACCGTCGGCTTATTGCACTGCCTTCAGTCCCGCGCCGCAAATTATGACATTAATTTTATAATTATTGTGTAGAGCACAAAAGAGCGGGGCGCACAAAAAACACGTAAGCTCCTTCCATTGTTGGGCGGGAAAACAATGAATGATTGTTCAAAACTGGTTGGGAAATGACTCGGGGAAACTGTCGTAGCGTACTTTGATGTAAACGAGCCCCGAGCGCAGCAGAAACGCGTAAGTAGCTGAAGACAGTGAAAAATGTTTTTGACATGGTAACTTTTACATCTCTAATTGGATTATGAAAGAAGGAATAACTTAGGTATTATGTGGTACATTTACAAATAATATGATTTGTTAAAAAAGAAAATTTAAGAGTTATTGAAAGAAAAATTACTATGAAAAAGTGAAAATATGTGTGAAACTATTCGTGTAGCAAACCGTTGGCTATTTGCAACATTTAAACTTAAAATAATTTTCAGATTTACAGGGAGCTTGTATATACGTCGTTCCATAATAGACTTCCATTCTTTGTAAAACAACATAGGTTGAGGTAAAATACACTGTGATGTAAGTGACGAAACCATAACGTCCGGGAATATTATCTGAGAATAGATTGTGCCTCAACCTGGGCTAGATATTCCTAGGTGCAGACTAGTCAACGTCGACTGACAACATTCTCCGTTGTCTTGATTAATGATTAATGTAGAGCTGTATGGTGCACAAACCATCTTTGCTACAAGCTGAATGATCAATTTATGGTTTCAAGACAAAGTTCAGTCTCGAGAAGCTGATGACCTCAAAAACGTTGCCCGTTCTAGGTATTCACAAGGCAATTGACA